GCTCAGTGGTTGAACGCATGCTTAACATGCACGAGGTCCTGGATTCAGCCCCCACAGTACCTCCATTAAAAAACAAACAAAATCATTCCTAAAAAAAAAACCAAACAAACAAAAAGAATTTCACACTATGAAAGTAACCCACTCTCTTTGTAGAAGATAACATGAAATAAAAAGCAGAATGTTTGGCTTGACTTTTGTTCTTGGGTACTTGCAAATAACTTATTTTCCTTAAATTGGGACAGATTTAATGTGCCTTAAGGAATAATCATATGTGTCAAGTGTATTATAGGTTTTCCAGTGAGCACTTAAAATACATAATTATTAAAATAAAAAACTACTTTTTGCTACTTCAAATCAAATGGTATGTGAACTATTTGTTGGAAAACATTACAAGAGATCAGTGATTCTCAAAGTGTGGTCTGGGGACAACACAAGATCTCATGGATTAGATAAGAAACAAGTAAAAATTCATCTAACTCAGCATTGCTTACAAACATAATCAACACAAAATAAAACTGAAAGGGATTAAAAATGAAACGAAATCTTGAATCATAGAAAATAACCTGAATATAAAACGATAGCTGAATCAAGTTTCCATGGAAAGTTTATAATAAACAAAAATTGATCTTAATTTTAGTAAATTAAAAAGGAAAGGATTGAAATCAAAATCTTTTTGGTAATTTATCAAGAATAACATTGATTTAAGCGCTAAGAAGAGTGGTTTTTAGATGGAAATTCGTTGATTTTGTATTGTTTGGGTTAAACTGTGTATTCATAATTACAGAATCACAGCATCGTGGGCAACATTTCCAGTGGATCCAAATAGTAGGTCAAGTATTCTTCGCCCAGAATAGAAAATAAGTGCAAATCCTTACTGTGGCTTTGAGGCCTAGGTTTTGATTCCTGCTTGTCTCACTGCATCTTTGCCCTCTTGGCCTTCCTCTCAGTCTTTTGGTCCCAGTAGCCTGAATAGTTCATCCTGTCTTCTGCCTAAGGGTCTTAGCCTCTGCTGTTCTCTACCTAGAATGCTCTTTTATCCCTTTTTGGCTGAGTTAGTTCTACTTTAGTAAACAGACACTTCGGCTATAAAAGCTTCAGTGACTCCCAAAGTCATTCTCACAGCTTCTGTGCTTCTCCTTCAGAGCACTTAGCAGAATTGTAATGACTAAAAAATTAGTTACCATTTTTCCCAGCTGGTAGGATTGCATGGAGTAGAGACTTAATGGATGGCTGAGAGCGTGCCCAGAGAAGAAGACCAAAGAATCGAGAGATGAGGTCTCTATTTGTCCCTTGCAGATGTAGGTGCTGAGAACCAGAGAACAACACAAAGCAATCAAGAGGGTTTTCCCAGGAGTTTGCAAAAGGTCTAGGAGTCACACAGTTCGGTCCCTAGCATTCTCAATGCTCACAGTGAAAGGGAACGGGACGCTGTGGCTCCCATCACCAACCCCTGCCTCTGGTTTATAGAAAAGCTGAAGTCTCCCAGGCCTCCCTGTGTCATAGAAGAGCAGGCTCAAGCAGTTGATTAGGACAAGCCTGCAGACAGTGGGGGATGGCAACGACTCTGAACACCTATCTCAACCATTAACTGAGATTATTCTTTCAATGTCCCTCAAAACTTTCATGGCTGAAGAGAATTTTTGGAGATGGCTTTTTTGGAGGGGATGCTGGTTCCACCAGATGGCAGGCATTCTGGTTAAAAGCAACTTTCCTTTTTGTTGCCCCCAGGCAACAAAGCTGTTGCCTCCAGGATCATACCCCTGCCGCTTCCTCAAATTGAAACAAATTACTCTTAATCTAAGTCTCTGGAGGCAGCTGCAGAGAAGAAACAAG